GTTCAGGGACATTAAAATGTAAACAGCCATTTTGCAGCGCATTATTTCTCCAAAACATTTACACTGGTAAGCAAACAAAAGCAGACCCATACAAAATATATCCAGAACAGATTTACAAAGGTATCACTAGCACATTCTGGATATCACACACTGTAAATGTAGTCCACTACAATGTTTACACTGGTAGCTGGATCCAATGTAAATTAACCAAAGAACATATAACAATACCAAAATGAAACAACTCACAAGGAATAACAGTGCAGTACATTTTCAATTTCAATGCTTTAGTCAGAAGTTCACAGTGAATCCTTTGCTTTTGTGTTTCACCAGTGATACGACACTGTTCACTCATGTGGACTAAACAATCACCAGTCTTATGAAACATTTGTCATCATACATGAACACAAATGCTGATGTGTTTGAACTACTTCTGCATACAAATGTGACCTCAACATCTACTGTCATCAGGTCTGCACTGCATGATGACATAGGCTCCCTCCCGATGACATTATATGCAGAAATATGGTGAGACATCAGGACTGGCTGGCGTTAAAGATCACAGAGATGAATTTTGCTTAACGAAATACACATCAATAAATATTGGACAGGTAACTATGAGCAGATTTGCTTAAAGTCCAAAAGACATCACCAAATACATGCCATTGGTAACATGTTTATGCATGGATATCTAATACAAACCGCTGGACATAATTTAGAAACAGTATGTGAAAAAAATATGGAACTTAATGTACACTGTGTGTGTAAATCAAAACTTCATTTCATTACAAAATTGTCAATGGATCAATAACACTTTTTTCAGATTGATAATCACCAAAAATTCTTTCCATAGACAATATTTCCTATTGTCAGTCCCTTAAAGCTAGCCCAAGGAGACACTTGCTTCTACAACAACTGTACAGTAATTACTGCAACACTCAGATCAACAGTGTTGTTTTGTTGATTCACAGTACTCAGAATACAATCAAGAACAAAGAATTTGAATAATTATATTTAGCCATAACTTTAAAGATAAAAATGTCTACCTATCGCCTATCTGATCATAACTGAATAACTATACTCATGGAAACGAATAAGGTAACACACGAAAGTAGAAGTGTTCCTTTATTTATTTCCAGAATTTCACCCACAGTGCAATACATACCTTGTCAAGAAACCTGGAAAAGAATAAAGGAACACTAGTACTTTCATGTGTTCCCTTATTCGTTTCCTTGAGTTTATTTACCAAGTGTCTGTGACTTCAACAACATAAAATTAACTACAATCTTCCTGCAAGTTATAACTGCATTAATAATTCACATTGATTAATAATTCAAGGACATTTTCCTTAAAAATTACATAAAATCAGATTTGCTGCTGCTGCAGAAGCTGAAATGTCGTATAAACTCCCCTGAAAGCAGCCTTATTCAAATATTCATCTAGCGGTTTGAGTGGTAAATTATGAATATGATGATATTATTCCCGCAGAAAGCCTGTAACATGCTCATTACGAGCCGTATTCCCCAGTGCCTAGCATCACACATGTCCATGTTAGCAAGTGAGTGCTGACTTCACTCCTGCCACTAGACTCAGAGGACCATAAATCCTGTTGACAGCTTCATGTGAATTACATAAGCAACAGTCAGTTCACAGCATACCAGAAATTTACCACAACTACACTTAGCCCACCCCCCATCTTGTCAACATCCATCATGTTCCCTTACTCCAACAGATTCTAACAGACGTACCCTGCATGGCTTAAGATGAGTATCTTGCATGCATCAGGAAAACAGGCCGACAGGTTTGCACCTAAAAATATCATGATTTACATTTTTGAGAGTAGTTAAGAAACTTCAGCTCCTCCTGACTGCCATGAGAGTTGGAAGCAACATATAACTTGCACACTTCTTTGCTGAAATATTAAGGATATGTTTTTGACCATTATTACTGTCGCATCTTCGAAGGCTAAGCAATTCTATGAATGTTAACTGTACAAGAATAACTTGATACAGAACAATCATCGTCATCTGTGGGTGCGTACGTCAATAGCTTCTTTCGAGAAGCCTCACATGGTGTCCTCGTTCAATGTTCAGCATCAAGCTGAGATGTAAGCCTGTGGATGTGAGGAGGGATTAATTGATCCTTGGTTGCGGAATAGAATGAAAATAGTCAACTTCAGTCACTAACAATTCCCACTGAGTAATGGATTCAGTTTTCCAAGGGCTGGAGATGGTATTGATCACATCAAGTGTAACACCACGACCACGGAATTCATTTACTGCAGTGCATGTGGAGCCTGTCTGGCTGAGTGATATGATGCACACATGATGCACAGATAATGCACAGATGCTGCACCTAAAAACCTTGACATGACTTCTAATCAAGTCTTGGGACAATTATTTCCCATCAGCCTTCACAAACGGGTGAAAAACAACATAATGATTGCAGAAGCATCTGTTCTGATCAAAAGTACAAAACAAAAACAATTCCCATCAAAGTCAGTTTACTACATGGCCAAAACTGGTCACAAAAACCAAAACATATCTACCGAGAAAATTTTATTTCAATCATTACATAAAATTAATTAGCTCATGAAGTCTGGCCCATTCCTTTCCATTTGCCTTGTTCAACTGCAGAGAAAACTTCAACATTGTTCCTTAATCTTGTTAAGTGTAATTTCATTATTGATTCCAAAAACAATTCAAGCCTATTGGCATACACTCGATAATTCCCTGGTGTGACCAGACCGCCTGCTAGCAATGTTCAGAGAAGTTGGGAAGTAGATTTGGTGGCAGCTATGGAACCATCCCAAAGTCATCATTGCTAGCACATGTTACAAGGTCAGTGAGAACAAGCCCCAGGTTCCTTCTCTCCATGCTATGGTATAACTCTTCATTAGTGCTGGCTCCACGATGGGGATGCTCACAATGGCTGCAGCTACCTCCCACATAACTGAAGTGGGTTAGGGACTCATCGAATTAATCAATACGTCAAAATTAAAGTAGAATGTTTCCTGTCTCACCACTTGGGTTCCACTTGTGAATGCAAACAGTCATGTCATTAGTACCATTACCCATTACACAACCTGAGAGTGGAAATGACCCAGACCTTACAACAAAATCTGACACACATAAACAACAATACCAAACTATCCTGTTTTCAAACTTAAATATAAAGACATTTTAAAATGATAGATACTGACTGAGGTCCTGCGATTCACAGAGCAAAGGAGCAAGCAAGAACTGCTTGATGCCCTTCAACTTCACACACTGGCAACTGATTGAGTGAATGCTGTTTTATGATGACAACGTATACAGCTCCAGGAATAAATGCACAAACAAATAGTCTTCTTGAAGGTACAAAGTGGTTCAATAACTGCAAATGAATCCAAAGAGATGTTTCCTCTTGAACCAATAGATAAACATGATACTCCTTTTTCAGTGACCATCATCAATATTCCAGTAATATCATGATGGGGTAAAGAGCCAGACAATGTGAGAGATCAAGAGACTATACGGCCTTTAATTTACAGCATAATCAGTCAGGTTAATCTGGGATGACATGCATGCATGTCTTAGAACCTCTATTAATCCAGCAAGAATTGGTATAATGTGGACATACCAGTGATAAGAAGAATTTTGGACTGACTGACTGAGTTTGGTTTTACGCCACTTTTAGCAATATTCCAGCAACATCATGGCGGGGGACACCAGAAATGGGCTTCACACATTGTACCCATGTGGGGATCTGAACCCGGGTCTTCGTCGTGACGAGCCAACGCTTTAACCACTAGGCTACCCCACTGCCCAGAAGAATTTTGGGATACAAACTCAAAATAAATAAGATCAAAGAAGGCACATGGGAGACAAAGCAAATTGTGATGCTCTGGACCTGTTAGAAGACAGACTGGGAAATGGTCACCTCACCCCATGTTGACAAAATTCAGATATATAGGAATTATTTGGCTTTAATAAGAACATGATTCACAGCAATGTAATGTGAGTATCCAATATTTTGTCCTAACGCTAAGTTTATAAATAGTTAACATGGTGAAAGGACAGTTGGATGATTCCAAAATCAATGCATACTCCATGCATCTTATATTATGGAGAGACAAAGTCCTCATCAACATCACAAAGGCCTGTTTACCTCTAATCAGTGGAGACTCTGGGTCCATGAATAAAGGACTTATGTTTAAAACCTCCATTATCCAACAAGATCATGGCAGCCAGTAAACAATACCCCAGTTCCAGACATACAATAGGCTGATAGCAAACACAAGTTCCATGTAAACCAGTGGTTGACAGTATAAGCATGATAAACCACAAACCTATCAGTTACAGGTGAGGTGAAATGGGGTTTAGGCCTAAAAAAAAAGTGTTGTGGTTCCGATTACCTGACCGACCCTTGAATTCTGTTTTTTAGAGGTATAAATAAAATAAGCTTTCAGATACCATCATTTTTTCCTAGCACCAATGGACATTGGTCATTCTGATAAAGAAAGTCGACATGATGGCCGCAAGCTTGATTGAATAAACAATTACACATTGATAAATGAGTTCGTAAAATAATATATGTAAAAACAAAAACAAATTCCTACCTACCTTACACTAAATTTTAAAGAGGTGTAATTGGAACCACAACATGATTTTTGTTTGGCCTTAATATTGCACTTAAGAATATTTTGCTTGTATGGTGTGTATACATGTATGGCTGCTTGTACCAGCCCAGACTTTAGCTGGTTTTATAGTGTTAGCTCACTGAGATACAATGCCGCAGTGAAGCATGAATGCCCCACTCAGACACAATATACTGACTTCAAGCCGACCAGTCCTTGTTGTACCCATTAATGCCGAGCGCCAGGAACAGTAAGTACCATATTTTAATGTCCTTTGGTATGACGCGAACAGGGATCGAACCCGCGACCTTCCGCTCTCCGGTTCTATCAGTTACGGGATACCAGGTGCTTGGGAAGACATATTAAGCATATTTTCAACCCTTACCTTTGCTTTGACCTGTTGCTTTATCCCTTAGCACATTGAGCTGAAAGACTGGACCATACTCCTCAAACAGTTCTCGGAGGTCATTTTCGTCCATTGACCGAGGAATCTGACCAACGAACATTTTTATACAGTCCGGGTCTGGCTCGGTCTTCTGTGTTTGGGAATTCATATTTCTGGAAGACAAAATAAGTTTTTAAAACATGACACAATGACTGATCAGTCATTACAAATGTGAACATTCTTCAATTAAGCACGATGTAAAAAATGATATCTTTGTTACCCTATCATACAGCTAACGAACCTTATGGTTCATATTTGTTTCGGTTGCTTTCACTTCATGTTAATGTAATATAACACGATAAATATTTTAATAAAACATACCGTCATAAAGAAGGAACATTTATCTAGTCATACAGAATATAAGACGTCAGATGAATTTATAAACATTTAGCTTACATAACAAGATAATATACTAATACTACATTTTAAAATCATCATAATCATTATCCAAATATAGAACAAGTATATATGGATTACAACTTCATTTATTCTAGAGCACAACGTTTCGATACAGGTTCTTTTATCGTTTTCAAGTAAGAATAAAACATGATAAAAGAAACCTGATATCTGTAATACTATATGGGAGGTAAACTGTCAATACAAATAATTCAGGAGAGGACTGTCTTATCATTTGAGAGCTGATAAAATATTCATCCTGTTGATGCCCTCGTAACTAGGCTAATTCAGTGGCTGGAGTAAGATTTCACTTGATATACGAACATCTAACTGATTCAGCAGCTTCCCGCCACATGTTTTTCATTGAAAATATGTCATAAAACATTTAAATAGGTTTGCAGGTTAATAAATTTTTGAACGCAACTAGATGTCACTGTCACTCTTATGTCAGTCATCAGTCAGGTAGATGGAGTTGCAGGAAAACCAGTTTAGATGAGGAAGTTAAAACAACTTTTCCCAAAAGTGGTCCGAGATAATGAAGACATCCTATTTACCGACATCCTTGATGGTTTATAGCCATAACACAATGGAGACCACAAACAAGGGACTGACGAAACGAGCGTCAAAAGCCATTTATCAGTCCACAATGTTGGGATTCATTTAGTTGCCATAGCAAAGGAAATTTCACACAGCTACAAATATGCCTGACGACATAGAAAAATCAAGCTGGCCTCCTGATGTTAATAAATTAGTCTGTGATGTTAATTACTTGTCCAAGACTGTCCAGTAAGCTCAGGTGGTAAAACGCCAAGGGGAACATCAAAATCTACAGAAATTGATGACTGTAGCTTAAATTTGTGCTAGTAGATTTAAAAGACTTTTTAGATTGCTAAATAAATAGCTCTAAAGATAGAAATATGGTTTATGTAAGAAAAGCAATTAACTGAAATAGATTACATGTACTCATGAGCTGATGGCACTATATCTGTAAGAACTGGTTAGGGGCAGAATGACTGTCAACCATTCTCAGTTGTCTGAGCTCTCTTATCACCTAACTGCTTGGCATGTTTGACCATTTGTTGAAAGTCAGAGAATCTATTATAGGCTTCTGTCACCTGTGGGTCAGAATCATCTTCAGTAATAAGAGAGGCCGACTAAAAGGATCGGATGGTCAGACTCGCTGACTTTGTTGACACATGTCATCGTATCCCAGTTGCATAGATTGATGCTCACGCTGTTGATCACTGGTTCGTCTGGTCCAGACTCGATGATATACAGACAGACACCATATAGATGGAATATTGCTCAGTTCGGTGTAAAACTAAACTCACTTACCCATAGGCTTGTTATGCTTTATATGGGTTTAAAGAACTAGAATGCTGTAACTGCATCACACATTACTGACTAAAGCCTTGTGGAGTGACTCCTTCCACTTCCCCCCTTGCATCTTTGCATTTCATATTGGCTCAAAGAAAAAACATGCTTGGAGCCAATGTCTCCTTAGTGGAAAAATGCATACAACACTTATAACGTACAAGAAACATTTCAGGCTACAATAGCATGGGGAACAAATAGATCAAACTGACCATTTTACATGCTGAGCAACCTAGCAATATGTACTCAATACATATATCAAAACAGAAAGTGACACTTTACATTGATTTAGAAATGTGCCAACAGAAAACACGAGAACTGGTTCACATGTGTGGAATCAAACCCAGGCCTTCCATGTCAAAAACATGTCTTTGGTTCTTAAACTTCAGTTTCTTGTCTGTATTCAGATTTGCTGATATTCTGGAGACAAGACAAGATTTCAAAGCTACAAAACACCTGGAAGCCTTATTGTATATTCGGAATGGCAAAAAGGTGCACTGCACAAACCTATTTCAGGTACATTGTCCTGTCTATTCTTTAGCAAGCTACCTGATATGTCAGAAAGTATCCTACCTACAACCGCAGGCAGTGAAGCACTCAGAAAGAACACAAGCTACTGACCTGTCTAAATACTTCACAAACACTCAAGACTGTACATGCTGTTTCAACATCAATTCTTGACGTTCTCTGAGGACAATACAGTTTTCAAAATTCAACATAAAAGTCAAAGCAGTGATAGAAAATAATATTTTTAAATCACATCACTAATTTCTAGTGTTGCAAGGGGTCCTTGTCCCCACCCTTATGTTGAAAGGTACATATGAAAGGGTCCCTATATTCAAATATAAAAACAGCTAGACCCTACTTGATATCAAACACTGCAAACATATTTCTTGCTCAAGTACCCTTCCATTTCAATAATCAGTGAGTGAGTATGGTTTTACACCACTTTCAGTAATATTCAAGCAATATTATGGATGGCGACACCAGAAATGCGCTTCACACATTGTACTCATGTGGGGAATCAAACCCAGGAATTAGACACGACGAGGCTAACAAGGTTTCACATGATCAGACTTTCATCTGTTCTACATATCATCCTGCCATGACTTATCAAGTCATCCAAACAATATAATAGCATCTGTTTCCGTTCCTATGAACTTCAAGGTTTCTTTGAGTATCTACAGGGGTGGAAATAACCCATTGCCCGACGTCAGAGTCCAGTGTTTTTTTCTGTCGGGCAAGCAAATTTGTATATCACACTGGACCGGTGTCCGGTAGACTTTCCAGTGTTAATTATGTTGTTTATTTAAAAAATCAACAAGAAAACGGACGGTATAGTGGAAAAATTATCAGGGCAAGTGATTTTACATGTGCCACTGTACCGGAGTACACTAGCAATTTTAAAGTTATTTCCACCCCTGATCTACCTCATTTACTACGTAGACACCACAGTCGAAAACACACCTTTCAAATTCCACTTCTCTTCATGACACCCATACCATCAAGCTCGAAGAATAGTGTGATTTTCTAAATAAATCTGCATTGAAGTTTAATATTTATCAATTTCCTAAAGCATTCTATCAGAACTTGCAGACCATAGATATCACAAGCATTCAAATAAACGCATCACAATACATCAATACAATTCCAAACATGTTACCAAACCAATATTTTACATAACCATATGCTCCCAAACGATGACAGTAACAATGCTGACCAATAAACTGAGCCTACTCAATAATGGATAGGATATTACTTATAGAAAAGCAATATTTGATTGTAGGTATGTGGTTATTGTCACTACTGATGCCTGAATTCCTAGCTGTCCTGGTTGGTTAATGAGGACACCTGCTGCATGAGGTTGCACCCTAAATCCTGATATCCATCCCAGTACAGTAAGTTCAACACCTTGGAAACTGTACTGTCAATAGGGTTCACCTCAACCAGCAGTCAATCAACACTGTATTCAAACAACTGATGCCAGACCAGCTCCCTTAACAGGCTGGTCCCTGAACACATGTCCAGTCCATGTCCAGTGTTTGGGGAGACATATTACTGTTATGATAAACACTGATCATGCTGATAACCCAGTTTCTGGTATCTCAAACTAAGCTCTTTCCGAACAGCATAAGAGATTTGCAACGGCATTTGCATCTAGGGACCCCAATGTAACCATACACATAATGTAGTAGTGTGTCTCACAGTCCCTGAACCACATTATTTTCCCTACTGTCTGACTAGTGCTGGGAATTGGTCAAAATCTCATAATTGATGATTGGTTCATTACACCGATCAATCATTGAAAATAATTGGTTAGCATCATTTATGAAATTTTCCCGATTATTTTTGTTAATGGATAAAAAAAATAAAGAAAAAACACTGTAGTTCTTTGGTGTTTTTGCAAATTGCACAAAAGGCATTGGCAAATTTCACATCTTTAAAGGATGACTAGTAGGTTAGGAACATTAATTTCTTGGGAGTCTTGAAGATAAATTCAACCATGAATTGGAACAAACTTGTAGTGGTCAAGAAATGTAACAGACAAAACCAACCTTGTGAAAAATATTGTTAATGCAAACAAGTGTTCCAGAATTGTTTGTGTTCAATTATGAGAAAACATGACCGATTGCTTGGTCGTTTAGTCACTGCGACCAATCTTCGATTATTTCAATTAATCGGACCACCACTATGCCTGACCCTCCCTGCAATGCTAAAGCCATAAATGAAGCAAGTCCAGATTTCATCAAACTTTCCTGAATTTCCCATCTCACTGGGGCTCCTGTTTAATTTAAATCGGTTTATTAGTTACTATTAATACTATCAAATCTATATACATTCAGAGACTAAGAGTTAGTCTAATAATATAGCTGCAGTGCAAGTTACAGCTTACTCCATCTTTCTTGTACCGCCTGTGCTCAGTACCTGATACCTATTGTAATGCAGAAGATGTCTGCCACCTTGGAGTGACCCCCAGTTGATGGCTGGAGGCAATCTGTCCCAGGACTGTAGACAGGAATTACCCGCAAGGGAAGTTAAACTGTCATGTCAGTCAGCATTGTCCCTTACTTTGACATTTAACTTCACCGCTTCCTGCTAACAAACCAATAACACAAGGGAACTGTGGCAGAAATGCATGCAAGAAACTGGGGCAGTATCAAAGTCATTTCACACGCAACTTTCAGTTTTCAGTCTCATAACCACAATGTTTAACAAAGGGTCAACACAGGGTCAACAAAGGCCTTTCTTCCAACAAAAAGTATTATTAACAAATGTGTTTATGTCGAATCAAAGCGACCAATTTCCTGCTTCATATTTCCCTTTGGTTACCGTATGTGATTTGGGTGAGCAAAACACCCTTTCAATTTTTCTATGACAAACATTTGCAGGTGAATGTTTCCTTGTCTCAGGAGAATAATCCATCAATAAATACATATTCTGAAACTACTTCAGAGTAAAAGCAAAACATTACCAAAATTACAACAGTAGAACAATGCCTTCCCTGATCTGCAAGCATTCCCTTTGTTACATTTTCCTATTTCTTAACTGTGTCCAACAGAAACCTTTCCTGGGCACAAGTGCATCAGTATCTTCAAAAACAAGTACAACTCTAAAATCATAAAAACACATCTGAAACAGAACACCACAATTGAGACAGTTTCGCTAACTTTGGACCAAATACTACATTAATAGTGCTAGCCCAGTGATATACCATGATACAGTTTTACACTGATACTGACTTCGACATAGTATACAGACAAATGCTCTTCTATTCCCTTCAATCACGAGGCAGAGTAATAACAAGCACCACCTTTTGCCGTTTTTGGGTATGGAACCCATCCACTGACCACTTTGTGGGCAGGTGCTCTATCAACTAGACCACAAGGATGGTCTTCCAGCCACTACATGATGTAAAAGACCCAGAACTCATCATCCAAAACAACAAAATCGTACCACACTCAACTCGAGCGAAAACGAGCAAAATCAATATCATGTAAATATGTTTTACATTCAGAAATTCATATCTATTTCAAGCTTGGTTGCAGGTTCATGATTCTGAAATATTGATGTGTTCGCTCTCCATGATGCTAAACTAATGTGTTCTCTTGCTGTGGTGGTCTCATAATCCATTAACAATGAACAACAATTAGGTCTGTCAGCGAACTGACAACACAAAGTCATGACTATGTCAGAATCAGCATTGTTTTCAGCTAAAAAAAGGATCCTGCTAACCACCCCAGCAGCAGACATCTTTAACTTTCTTCTTCCATTACTACAGCCACGATGACAAATACAAGACTGGACAATGGAAAAAATGATTTATCAGTTTACCACAGACTGGCTGTGTATTTTTGTTATACAATAACACCTCAATGCCATTTATAAACATAATAATTGCACAATCTGAGCAAAGACAATAAATAATATACTTCCTGGTAACTGTTTACAGGAAATGCATGAAACTCGGGTCATAATTACTATCACAATTTCATATCTAGAACAGGGACAGTACAAATTCGTCAACTTAGAACTTTTAAATCTGACTGCATCAGGCAGCTTATGTAACACTGGTTAATGTTTCCTATCTACTGGTATACCAAGCACATGTATCTCTTAAACTGACAAAAATATATACATGAATTAACACATAGATGAGAACTTTCCTCTCCAACATGCCTCATCAGAACATAGCATATTTAATACATACACACACTGCTATTTGTATTAGGCAAAACATGACATTCTTTTTGTGTCAGGTCAGGTCAAGTAACAGGCAGCAATTTCTATAAAAATGAATTGTATCATAAACTTTATAAAAGTGACTTTGTCTATACAGTTTGAACAGACGTGGTGCCAACATCATTTTGGCAATCTTTAATCAGAACCCCCGGCTTTCAATCATATGATTTTGTCAAGTCAAAATCCAGGACTGGAAATGGATACCATGTGCACTGGTGCAGTCATTGTTCACATTCTGTCCAGTCTTAACAGTCCAGTATCAAAGCATCAACAGCCTGTCCATTCCAGTGGCACCAAGGGCTGTAAAACATGGCTAGATGTTTCTATGTCTATTTAACCACAGCCCACAGCTCCTACTGGTTTAGGCCTCATTCAGCATGTTCAGTGAAAGGGATTACCAGTGCAAGAAATGATGTGGATGTTTGAAGTGTAGGTTGATAAAGCTGTTTAGCATTACAGACTAAAAAAGGGTATGAAACTGAAACACTGCTTCAACAGCGAGTTAATTTTTACATTATATTCTAACATTTGCAAAATATCATAACCACAAGCAAATGTGAATATAAATGGTTTTATAGCATGAAACAATTTTGCAAGGACGAAACCAAATGAAAATGAGACCTGAACTTCAAAATGGGTGCATATTAAACTGAACATAGTTTTGCAAATATTCAGATCAACTTATCACAAAAAGGCAAAGCATGTATGCCTTATCAGCTCAACCCTCAGAACAACCACACATTTACCAGCAGATCTTATCTAAATTTGGCAACTTACACCATAACTTCCATGTCTGTATCCAAAACACTCTTTCACAAGACGGATATTTCCAAATCTGCCAGCACAACCTCGGTCTATTCCTGATCAAAAAGGAAATACATGGATGTTGTAAGTTCCCTTCGTGACTGGTGCAGGTCTAAACAACCCTCTCCCAAATACCACTTTCTAACGTGGGACAAAAGAGGTAGTTATTCATTCCTGATTATGAAGTAAGATTACCTTGAAAACAAAGGGTGAGTATCTTATATTACATATTTCCATGCTGAGCCATACACAGAACCTGGCCACAGCTAATCTCAAGATCAATGCCAGGCAACAAATCTACAGTATGAATTAGCTCAGAGCTACTTATCTAGATCTAATACAACCCTTTCAGAGTCAACAATACAGGCTACTGGCTTGACAAGCTTACAGAAGCACAAAGATTTGCCCCTCATGCCCTGGCGTGAAAGAGAAAACTTTGGATTAAATTGTGATGTAAGGAGAAAAGACTGTGGCTGAAATGTAGATTCGTTCTCATTTGCATATAGTATTACTTAGTGTATCGAGTTTCGAGTGGCAACAAAGGGGATTTGTCTGCTAGTGAGAGCGGTATACCTGCCCACGCCCATTTTAAGGTACTCTTATTTAGTAACTGATCGGATACTGATTGTACTACAGATTAGGAAGTATAATCATTAAACCTCAACCCAAATGCAACTCCTATTATTGATAACAAAAATGATACATATCCTCAAAAGTAAAACTAACATAAAATTTTGGAGAAAAATATTTTATAATTTATAAATGTAAGTAATAGACAGCTTTCTGTAGTATGCGAGCAAAGAGATAGATTAGAAATGAAGCCAGGCCTGCAATTTGACATAATCAACAATGGAAAAACATGGTATATTAAACATGATTAAATAATTTATTCGGAGAAAAGTGTGTCTTACCAACTTGAACTGAAGTCACAACATTCAGAGAATTACTAAAAGATAGCCAAAGACTGCTGGCTTGCAGCAGATTACTAAACGTTGTCCTTCCCCGATGTCAGTTCTGACAAATCTCACATATTGTTTTATGCATGAACAGAGAACAAAATGGAATTATTTCCTACAAGTTCAAACATGCATTCCCGAGAGCAGACATCCTAATAGTGCCAGGATTGATTAGCTTCCCAAGTAATGATTTTTCACTTCGACTGCCAAACACCTGCTCGGAGCTTTCACACACATCTCAACCGAAGCGCAGTTGCCATAATCTTGCCATGAAAAAAGTTTGTTTTTGCCCTTTTTCTGCTAGCAAAATCCTATAAAATATGAGAATTTAAGAAATTGCCGGGTCTCAGATAAAAATCTATTAGTCTCAACCTTTTAGATGAAAACTCATCTACAACCTGCTTCTTCGCTGACAACGTTCTAAATTTAGAAGCCGAATTGTCAAAATCTGAATTTGTGAACTTTGTAAATGTTGCTCTGACAATCCTAACATAACTTACATATAATCTTTTCACAGTTCTAGTCACTAGTTTCACTTATTCCCAAGCTACAGTGAAAGCACTGTACCGCAACACCCTGGGTAGTTCTCTGGCATTGCTCGCTTCGATACAGCATTCTCCGCACTCAACCAGTGGCTAACTCTACAGTAAACACGAGTTGATATCGACGGCGAATTCTCGCTGCACAGTCAAAGCGAGACACTGCTCATGCAATATTTACAATATAAATGTAATCTACACACATTAATGTCGCTGTGAGGAAGTTTTTGTGGTTATTTGCTTTCGAAAATCTTACCTTTTATCCACGTGAAAACACACACAGACAGGACAGGACAAACACACAACAAAATGGCGGACGGCAATACCCACAATCCTCTAGTGCCCTAATCATATAGCGCGCATCAAAGCACGTGTGTGAACTCTGTTGGAAGGAAGATAGTTCACGATACGCAACGAAATCTTTTTCACTGACGATAAGGAAGATAAAATGAACCATATGACAGTTAACACGCTTATCGTTATACTTAGACAGTATTAAATGCGCCTTCCAACCTACATAACGCAACGGACTGCAACTCAGTGAACCTATTTTATTTCCACCTTGTCTTAAATTACTCCTGGAGCT